AGAAAGAACAAGTTCTGAATAATAAGAAAAAACGCGAGACGCACTTTTTGCCACACGCGACTTGGGGAACGCCAACTATAAAACGGCTTTCGAAAAAATAGCAAAAAAAAAAAAAAAAAAAAAAAAAAAAAAAAAAAAAAAAAAAAAAAAAGGCACTATGCCCATCGGTGGATGTCGACGCTAACGATGAGCGGGACCTTGGTGGGCGGATCCTCATGGGGGGCGGGGGAGCCTTTTAGGGGCGTGGCGTTTGAGGGTATCAGTCTTTTTGGCTTCGATCGCCGGTAACATAAAAGCCTTATTGAGGGCGTATTGTTATTATATACCTGTATAGGAGGGTATCTCTATGCATTGCACACCACACACCACACATTACAACACATGCACACCACACACATAGAAAACACACACATTATACAAAATAGTTTAGAAGAAAGATGGCGCGTTGGCAGGTAAGATAGAGAGATAGAGATAGAATAGATAGATCAGATAGTAGAGAGAGAGGAGGAGAGAGAGAGAGAGAAGAGATGAGAGATGAGAGAGAGAGAGAGAGAGGTGAGAGAGAGAAGAGAGAGATGAGAGAGAGAGAGAGAGAGAGAGAGAGAGAGAAGAGAGAGAGAGGAGAGAGAGAGATGAGAGATGAGAGAGAAGAGAGAGAGAAGAGAGCAGAGAGAGATGAGAGAGAGAGAGAGTGATTACAGATAGAGATATACAGATAGTATAGATAGAAAGACACAGAGAGAGAGAGAAGCAGGAAGAGAAATAGGAGGACAGATCGAGACACCTAAAGATAAGCGTATTGATATTCCAACACGCCCACTCCTCATGATCCGAGAATCCCACACGGAGACCCGGATGAGAGACCCCCCCCCCTTCCTCTCTCCCCTTCCCCTGTCCCTCCTCCCTCCACTTCCTCTTGCAATCGCAGTTCTTCTCCTTCTCCTCTCTCTACTCACCTCTCTCCTCCGCCCTCATCCCCTGCCTTTACTCGCCACGCTCCCCTTCTCTCGCTTCTCTCTTCCTATTCTTTTTCGTCCCTCACGCTTCCATCTACCACTTTTTGCCATTCCCCCCCCCCTCCATTCCTTCCCTCTTTCCCTCTCCCTTGCACACTTTCCTCTTTTCCTCTTCCTTACCTTTATCTTCTTTCCCTTACCCCTCCTCCACCTAAACCTACCTCTTCTTTCCTCTTCTCTTCCTCCCTCTCCTTTCCACCCGCCTTCCCTCCCCCTCTCCTCCTCCCTCCCCCTCCACCCCTTCTGCTCCCTACCCCCTTCCTCCTTCTCCCTTTCCCTATCACCCTCCTTCCCTCCCCACTTCCTCCATCTTACCCTTCCACCCACCTTCCCTCCTCTTTCACCCCTCCATCCACCTCTCCTCCCCGCTTCCTCCTCCTTCACCCTTCCACCCACCTTCCTTCCACCTACCTTCCCCTCCCTCCTTACCTCTCCTC